AAATTATAACCTGTAGTGTTTGGTAATGATAATGGTATTATTGGAGTTATTTTCTTAATTAAAATAACATTTTTCAAATAAAAATCTACTTATATAGCATTTTTGTTTTTTCATTTTTATGAATAGAAATCACAGCCATTAATGATGATGAATTAAAATGATAGAAAAAGAATATTCTATTCTATCACAACAAAACATGCATTTATTTTATTTTTTTGTAAGAAATAAAGTTTAACTTTTTAAAAATGATTATTTTTTTTTTCAATTTTATCAATTGATTATTTCATTTATATTTTAAGATAATAAAAGAAACTGAAAAGTATTGATTCCGATTCAAATTAAATATTTATTCTTATAGTACTAATCATTTAAGCATGATAAGAAAATTTTACTTACATTAAAATAATTTTATTGAAAACAGTGCTTTCATAGAAGCCCTTCTCCTAGAGCTTAGATATAACTATGATAATGTGTACATTTTTTAAATTTAAAATTAATTTAAAAAATAATCAATTAAGCTAGTATAATTAAAAGATTTCAAATTAAAAAAGTTATAAGTTTGATGGGATTTAAGGGAAATGATAAATGCAAAAAAAAAAAAAAAAAAAAAAAAACGTAGCTAATGATTTATCCATCCATTAATGAAATATGTATTTACATATGCATGGAATTATGGGATTCCATTCATGTCTGGAGATAGTAATTATTTTAAAGTTAAAAAAAGTTTCTTTGTTTTGTCCCATCAATTTCTTTAGATATTATTCTGAATGAATGAAAGCTCTGAATTGAACTAAATTATTACTGTTAATACAACATGAATATTATATTTAAATATATTTACATTCTTTACAATAATCCTAGGTAGCAATAAACTCATAATATTTACAAAGTATATTTTATTATATTTACAAGATTATTATATATTTTTTAATAGTTTTATATATTTAAATAAATAAAATGGTTCATGATTTATTATAAATTAATAAATAATTGACGAGGAAAAAAAAACATCCAAAATTTTTCAAAAATTAAAAAAAAATGAACTATGGTAATATTTTTGATAATCAGCAAAAGTAAGCCGATATTTTTCACTCAACTTTTCCTATGAATAGCTTTCATAGTTTTTAAGTTTTAAGGGCTATACTGTGTATTTTCTAGATCACCAACTTATTTATTTATAAAATTAAAATATAATAAGTGTTTTATTGTAGAAATTAAACCAGTTTCTCAGAAAATTGAGATCTGTCACTATGGTTTCTTAGGTTTGAAAAATGCAAAGAAACAAAAAAAAATTTTTGTTGTTGTATACAAGCGCTTTAATATCCCCTACATTAGTACTTACTAATACAATATTAAATACATTTGAAAACTGAAAAATGGGAAGGAAAAAAAATGGGTTTAATAAATTAACTTTACTTTCATGGTTCGGTTCAAATTCTCATTGACAACTAAGATTATGAACAAAGGTTCATTCATTTTAGAAGAAGTACACTTTAAACTAAATAAAATATGGAAAAAGTATAGAGTTGATTAATTTTACTCATTTATAATAATACTGAAACCATTTTAGAAAAGTGTGTTTGAAAAGGGGGGAAAGCAATACAGAACTTATTGGTTTGAATCCAGTCTGAGACGGATGCGTATTATATTCTGATGTAGGCCCACAAAATAAAAATCTTGTCCTTGATCCTCACTAACAAAATAAATGAACATAAAAAGGCGTATTAAATGCCTTATATTGATCGATAAAGATCTTTCTCAACTATGATACCATACTATATTACATGAAGTAATTTTTTAATATTTTAATGAACTATGTATCATGTTTAGTTTTTGATTATTTATAAGATGTTGCAGAAATTTACAAACATTTCAATCTGTTATTTTATTTTCAGAATTAACTATCTCTGCTGGACTTCTCTATTTTTTTTTTCTTGTCCCAAATTAGTAAGAGTTAGATCATCATTATGGTTAGGAAATATTTTTAAATGAATTATAAAATGAAAATGAAATATTACGCTACTGTTAGTGCACAATGTTGTATGTAACAATTTTCCATTTTTATTACATTTGTTCTAAAGGTGATATTTTATAGGCCAATAAGCTTACTTTTAGTGGCTTACAAAATATACTCCTCAATCTTAGAAAGAAGATTAAGGCTCGTAGTTGAGAATCAAATTGAGAACGAACAAGCAGGCTTTCGTCCGGTGAGGCAGACTCAAGATCACATTTTCGTGCTAAGAGGCATCGCAGGGAAAGCATGGAACATAGACAAGAATATATATATGGCATTTCTGGAACTCAAAGCAGCATTTGACTCTGTTCTCAGACAAGAAATATGAGATGCTTTGGCGGCAAAAAATGTTCCAAGTGATCTTATCACGGCAATTAGATCAGCATATAAGGCAGCAAAAGGAATGGTAAAGATTAATGGTAGAGAGTCCAAGCCTTTTCCCATGGAGAGAGGAGTCAGGCAGGGAGACAGCCTAAGTCCCCTCTTGTTCATCATATTTATGGATGAAATCCATAAAATTTGTAAGCGTCGTACTGCTTGGACGGTTGTCGGAAAATGGAACCTGCGGAATATTATCGTCCAAAGCCTACTATATGCCGATGACATCGTTCTGATTGCGGACACGAAAGACAAGCTGCAGCAGGCCCTTGTAGAATGGCAGGAAGAACTCCTCCGCAAAGGTATGGCTATCAATAGCTCCAAAAGCAAATTCCTAGTCATATCAAGAGATGAACAAGAAGACGTCCAGCTGATCTGTAACGGGCAGGTACTTGCAGTTGTGCAAGAATTCACCTATTTGGGTACAATTATCAGCAACGAGGAGAAGATTGACCCAGAAGTAGCGAATATGATATCCAAAGCCTATCAGGTATATTACCCTATCAGAAACAGTATAGTAGGGCACAGGGAAGTTGACAAGGAAACAAAAAGGCACATATCAGTTTTTGTTCATTTGCAAAAAAAAAAAAACTCAATTTTTGCACTAACAGAAATGATTAGTAAATATGAATAAAAACAACTGGTAAGTTAATAGATAAAAGAGCTTTCTTGATCTTCTGTCCTATAATTATCCTTTATTCTACGTCCTTTAATAAAAAAGAGTATATGAAACAAATAATTATGATATAAGGATAGTGGTGCCTACCGATAAGAGTCAAAGTTTCAATTATCAGACTTATCCAGTTATAATAGGCAAAGTGTGCTAGGAATAGAAGATATGTATTTCAATATATTATGGCAGTAATTCAATAACTTGGAAGATGATTATATTTAAACTGACAAGGTAACATATCTTAATTATTATTATGTAAAAAGTTTTACTAAAATATTGGAAAATATAATTAAAGAGTATGTTATTGTTCACTAATTTTAGAAAAGAATGATTCTGGAGATGGGGATGGTTAAAAACATGATGAAAGTATGGAAATTAATTAAAATGTCAAGGATCTTATAGAATTAAAATGGCTTCCTTATCAAATTCGAAAATACATGGAATATTATGTGCATATAATATTTAATTTTTCCAAATCCAAAAAAAAATGTAATTTCTTATATCAAGATATATTGAAGGGTAAGACAAACTTCTATACATTTATTTATAGTTTGATATTTACAGTTACTTAATTAGAAACATTAATTTTTAAGCTCACTTTTGTACAAATTATTTACATATAGAATAACTTTATGTAATGATTTTTCAGGATATAAAATTTATGTCTAATATTACAGGTTTTGAAATTTTCCTTAAATCTACAACCTAATTATATGAAATACACTCAGTAAAAAATATCTACAGAAGGTTATAGAATTACTAATTGCAACTAATACATTTATGAAAATCATTTTTTATGTCATTGAGTTATATTTTTAACTTTTTTATTTTACAATACCAATAGTCAGTGTAAGATCAATAATGTTTATCTCATATTTTCAGTTTTACAGAGACAAAAGCTAATTTCTAATTGAAGTTACTTTTTCAATTATTTACATTAAACAGAGATAATTGCATTGCTTAATAGAAGACAAATTCAAGGGTTCTTAAGAGATTTAGAGGAAATATTTTATTTCTCGACTATTTAAGCATTATTCAATTATTGGATTAAAAACAAAGCATCAAGTCTCTCCAATTACAGTAAATAACTAACGAGTAAAACAAGATAACCTAAATAAATACCAGAAGCAGTGCTCATATTTCACACAAACATCTAAAGAAAGACTTACTCCAGAGACAACTTTGACTTATATATGTGAAATACGTTTTGAGGTCTCTTGAGTCTAAATAACCAAGTATAATAAAATGGTATGTGTTTGTATGTGAATAGGGTAGTTCAAAAATTATGATTCAGCTCGTTGTATCAACTTAAAATTAATTTTCAATTTATACTAGGAAGGAACTACTGAAATAGACAGAACAGAAGGAAAAAAATATCCTTCTAAAGTACATTAATTGCGAGAGAAGAATTGGGATCTCCTAAAGTATTGGATTTCCATCAAAATTTTAAGGAAAGGATCGCCTAAGAGTTCCTCTGAATAAATGTTGGTAAAAATTGTATATAAGTGTACCTGTATTCAGGGGTTCCCATTCCCATTCAGGAGGACCCCCACCCAAGGTTGATGGCGCATGAACCTCCCTCCTCTCCTTAAGATATTTTATTGCTCTCCTCTTCTTTAAAAAATTAGAAATTAAAGTACCGCAAATCATATACAATTACACTTGCTAAGGTTTGTGCCTACCTATATTTATTTTTAATATTATTATTTTCCTGTTATTCAGAGTGTGAATGAATGTTTTAACAGTTTGTTGTAACGGAAACTAAAAAACAAAAAGTAAAGTTTGTGTGATGCTCACACTGCTTCATGCTTCAGAGTTTTTTCACACTTTATTGAGAGGCTTGAAACATTATTTTTAGTATCTTCCAAAATATCTTAGTAATAGTGTTTTCTTAAATTTATTTTTGGACTTAAGTTAGGAAAACCTTTGATATGTTTAAATCTTCTGTTCGCGGTAAGAAGTCTTACCCCGCTGTTTGGCGCTGATCGTTATGTACGTGGTGCATGTTGTGTTGATCCTGTGCAGGAGCTGGTCCTGTGGAGGCTTCTTCTTGCAGGAGAGTCTGTTGAGGGCGACGCAGAAGGCCGAGCGGAACCTCGCGTTGAGCCAGCAGTAGATCAGGGGATTGTAACAAGAGTGAGACATTGCAAGCCAATGGAGGGCGAAGTACATGTACGGCAGGAAAGACCAGTTCGACAGCTCTGGCTTTGCTTCCCAAATCAGCTGAAACAATAAAAATAATAATTAATTACTTTCTGAAGTGAAAACTTCTTTTGAAGCACCTTGTACTTGTTTGTAGAGAGTGAATTAGATTGAGCTGTCAGATTTTAAATGTGTAACGCACAGATATAATCGGCTGGAGTAGACTAATTAAAGTGTTTTTGCATATGGATTTTTTGTTATGCTTTATTTTATTTTTTACATACATTACATCATGTCATAATGATAAATTACATGTCTGTGTTTGCAGTAACCTTGCACATACTAGTGGTTTGAATGCTATTTAGAAAATTGAAATCCAATTTTTACAGTAGGAAAAACCTCATAAAAAACCTACATAAGATATAAATGAAAAACTAGATTAATCATTAAAAGCACAAGAAAAATAAAATATAATTTATCTACAAAGGAAACTATATATATATATATATATATATATATATATATATATATATATATATATAGTAGTGTGTGAATATATATATATATATATATATATATATATATATATTTTTTTTTTTCCCCTACGTGGTAACCCCACACAAGGATCGTTTATTTGATTTTCCTTCATGCTCCATGCCTTAAAGACATATTACATGAATTACATTTGTTTACAATTGTTTTTTTTTTCTAGTTTTACATGATATACATTTTTAGTTCAAATTTATATACATTAACAAACAAAAATACAAAGAATAAACACACAAAAATTAAATCGGAAAACTAAATATTAAACACACAAAGTCAATCCAACAAAGCCAAAATGAAATCACCCACGCTGCCCATCCCTGGTTAGTAAGTCGAAGTCGATCGATCTAATAAATCTAAGAAAGTCTGTCTTGAATTCAGTAAATAACTTTTGTTCCGTCTCAGGCCAATTTCCACTTTTGATAATTATGATTTTTATTAACTCAAATCGTTTACATTCATATATTATATTTACATTCATATATTATATGTTTAAAATTTTGAACCTGTCCTATATATATATATATTCACACACTGCTTGCATATGGATTAAAATATCTCAGGAACCAAAAATCAGTTCTGCATACTGCAAGCAACGGGAATGTGGGAATGTTAAGTATTTTATTATTATCTTTGTATCTTAACGCGAAAATTAGTGTCGAAAACCAAATGATAACAAGTTTTATTGAAGCTTTGGATTAAAATATCTCGAAACTAAAAATCAGACCTGCATACTGCAAGCAAGGGGAATGTTCAGTATGCTACTATTCAAAAGTCAATAGAAAATAAACGTTTCCATACAAGATAATATAATGATAGTATCTCGAAGGAAAATCTAGGTTAGGAAAACTAAATTTCTTTTTCAGCTTGATATAGCAAAAATAACAAGTGCACATTATTATCTCAATTTATATTAATTGACTTAAATATATATTTATAATTAGAATTAATATTCTAAAGGCTTATTTACTATTTAAAAAATCAACTTATATTGAAGCGCTAAGTGAAAATAGTGTGATGTATCGCATCATGATTTTACCTTTGTGTTTATCAATTCAAATTAACTTTATATAAATAATTGAAATATAGTAAATTCAAATAAAGACAATTTTAGCCATATTATAAACTTCTGTGCCGTAGTTGTAACGTATTACTTATTGCTAACGTTTCACATGATCTGTAAGTTAATATTTTATTGATTCAATGTAAAATGAAGGTCTCATATAAACTTGAGAAAAATGGCCACAGCCTCCTCAACTCATCCATCTTTTCACTTGCATGCATAATATATATTTAGCAATATACGTAGCTTCGCCATATTTCCATCTATGCTTTGAAATTCGTCTTGGATCAAGGTCTCGTGGTTCTTTGATGATCCAATTTGAGTATGTATGGAGAAAACGTCGTATTCATCAGAAGGAACTCTGAATTATTCCATACCTTTCATCGATTCTCTATTTTACTTTGCCTGCAATTCGTTTTAAGATATGACTTTCAAATAAAGGTTATGTGTTTATGTCGAACGCTTCCAGGTATGTCTCAGTTTTTAAAGGATCAGCGAGACCCATTTTTTAAGTTTAGTTGCAATTATTCGGCGAGATCTTCTGAGTGTTTTGAAACAATTTTAGCTCAAAACACTGAAAAAAATATTGAATAAAATGTGCTTAATATTACCGAAATGTGTATTTAACGATTTTTTTGAGCGGACAGCTAGATTTTTTAATTTGATGGGAAAAATATTCAGTGAGATCAAATCAATTGTTTTGAAACAATTCTGGCTCAAAGATTTATGAAATGATTGTATAAATGTGTTTATTCTGTTCATTAAAAGTTATTAAGCAGTTTTTTGAACGAAGAGATCGAACCATTTTTAAGTTTGATAGCAAAAATTATTCAATTAAGTCCCTTGATTTGTTTGAACTGATACAATAAATATTGGGTTTGAACTCGTGTTCAAAATACTTAAATAATATTTGATTATATTTTAATTTTGTTAGAAATTGAAAAAGCCAAACAACAAAGTCATTAGTCTCCAAAAATTCAGGTGAATATTTGGAGTATTGGAATATTTGGAATATTGAATATTTAACTTGCCAATGTTTCGCCAATTCAGGCATCAGGGTAGTAAAACCAAGATCACATGTATAAAGAAAGAAAAAAAAAAAGAAAAGAAGAAGAAAAAAAAATTGTTGCTATAGACATCTCAGGAAGGCATCCAAATACATAGGAAGATTCTGTTAAACACAACTAAGAAAGGTTACATTGAACTGATGATTAGCAGGGATACAAGGAAGAAAAAAAAATACATTACTAAAATATAATAATTGGGCGGGATCTTGATTAACAATGGCCTTAAAATTGCTCGTTTCAATTTGAAGTGGGCGATCAGATCGTTGAACATCATTGATGTCAAAATTTCCTGAATGAAATTTGGCAAACCAATTTTGACAGGTGCATTCCAATACAAGCTGCAAGTTTTTCTATGAGATTCTGCAGCACGCTTACCTTTTTTAATATAACTCAACAAAATATGGCGATAATGAATGATATTTTCTTCCATATTCATAGTGCAATAGCAAACACAATACTTAACTAGTTTCAACAACAGTTAACAGATATAGTTGTTGACATATTACAAACAGGATAAACGATCCATCTTAGGGATTAATTCATCAGTGACATACAAATAAACAAAAAAACCGAAAGGATTTATTTGCCAACCCAATAAATGATCAAAAACTGACAAAAATAAATGGAATAACATTCATCAAACATATATTACAAAAATTTCAATTATTTTTGTTTTATTGTTTACTGCACCCCCAGTTATCATTTCTTTGATTCAAACAAGGATCAACCATTGTATCCATTATTAAGATTTAGTTTTTAATAAAAGGTTACCAAAATTTTATTTTAAACTGTAAAACTAGTTTAAGATCATTTTAATTAAAAAAAGAAATAAATATATATAAATTAATTATAATGCATGACGTACCACTAATATGTTGAATGGAAGCCAGCACATCGTGAAGACCAATACGACCATTACCATCATTTTTATCATCTGTAACAGAACAAAATATATTTGCATTAGGTTTTGAAAGAGGAATGAAGTCATGCATAATATGCTATATAATATAATATAAAAAATATAATATGCAGTACTACAAAAAAAAAAAAATAATAATAATAATTCAGTAGTCAGGAGATAAAAGACACCATGTCCATTATTTGATTAAATAATTCAGTAACGAAGAAATAAAATTTAATAGCTCAAAGCAATGGAAAATTGGTTCTCTTCAACAAATGAAAGATAAACTACGGTGTATGCTTTTGACCACACGATAAAAGTGAAGACATATCAACGAAACAAGATTAATAAAAATAAAAATTTGTTAGTGTTCTGTATGCAGAAAGAAATAAAATTAATAATATATACAATTATAGTTGTGTATAAATTACAGTAGTAAACTTTGCTTTGACTGATCGTCATTTGTATCATACTCTAAAAATGATGAAGTAGGTTTATGATAATTAAAATATGTGATGAATACTTTTGATTTAAATCTCTTTGCTAAATATTTAACAAAAACTTCGTCATTTTTTTAATATAACTTTTGTAACGGGAATCAGTAATTTGTTGAAACTATACCGAGTGCAATAGGAAATTAAATATATACGCATACTTTTTTATTTTTAAGGCTAATTAAAAAAAATATCAATATTGACATCCGAAAATTGGTTTCTGAGTTCTTAATGGTATTTAAATGTTGAGATATTTTAGTATAAATGTTCAAAACAATCGCATTTATTTGTTTTGTTTTTTGGAGCTACCTTTTTCCCTTATATCTTTCTCGCTATAATCAAAATTGTACTGTCCTGGCGTTTTTCTTAACATGAGTCAGGCTTTTGATAGAATATGGCACGATGGTTTGTTACATAAATTAAAAACGATCATTCCTCCAACGTATTACTTAATTTTACTTTCATATCTAAAAGATAGATTTTTCCATGTGAAAATGGGGACTGAGTTTTCTGTCATTAAACAAATAAAAGCTGGAGTACCTCAAGGCAGTGTCTTGGGTCCAACACTTTTCAACATTTACTGTGCAGACATCCCATAACATTCTGAAACACTGTTGGCTACATTTGCTGCTGACTCGGCAATATTAACATCTAACAAGGATGCAGCAAAGGCTTCTCAGGTACTTCAAGAACACCTAGACGACATAACTTGTTGGGCTAAAAGGTGGAGAATAAAAATGAACGAGTCTAAGAGTCAATTTGTTTCATTTACACTTAAACATAACTCTTGTCCTTCAGTGTTCTTAAATAATATTGCTCTAACACCTTCAAAAACTGTACGATATTTGGGTCTCCACTTGGACAAACGACTGACATGGACATCCCACATAAAACAAAAAAGAAAATAACTTAATCAGCGATACGGACTTCTTTCTAGGCTACTTGACTGACGTTCTAAATTATCTGTGACTAATAAATTAACTATTTACAAAGTCCTCATTAAACCAATATGGACATATGGGATCGAACTATGGGGAACAGCAAAGAAATCAAATATAAAAATCATTCAGTCATTCCAGTCAAAAGTCCTTCGGAAAATTGTAGACGCACCCTTTTACGTTTCAAATCTCACGTTACACGTTACACCTTAACACTCCTTTCATCACGGCAACTGCCACTGACCGCTTTAATAATTTTCATGACAGACTGACTCTAAATTCCAATCCACTTACTCAAGCTCTATCTACTGTCACAAATCCATATAATCCGCCCAGAAGACTGCTGAGGCGGTGGCCAAGAGACTTATTGCATTGAGCTACTTGCTGCATTATCTTTTTTGTGTGTGTATTTGTTATTATGTTGTAATGTATGTGTTATTTTACTACGTTTTTTTCTCCTTGATATATTTGCTGAATACTAAGGTAGATGGCAAATTTATTGTGAGCCACAAATATGAATTATGAAACTCAACCGTCGAAAAGTGAAAAAAAACTTTATTGAGAAAACAAATCAAACAATGAACATTATGACATGCTAAGTACTACTGATACAGATCTCTTGCTTACTGACTAGCCTAGGATTTTATGGGGGTATATATAGGTAGAGGAGAGGGAGGCTGCTCAGAATGTCAAGTCAGCATAGTTCGTTTCCATAACTATGTACAACTAATAAATAAAAAGATTAAATAACCTTTTTCCCTTTTTGGCTCTCTAAATTGGAGTCTCATAAAAATATATTTTTGATTCCTAGCTCATTTCCTAGACAAAGAGAAAGGAATGTTTAAAATTTACCTTGCTTACATTATGCAGGTCCAAGGTTCTTAGACATTTTAATCCATATTTCAACAAAACTCGTTATCATTTGGTTTAAGACACTATTTTGTCCCTTCTACCTTTCTGACATAGTGGTCGAAAAATGCACACAAACGGCGAAAGCCCTGGGCAACTTTCAATTTAAGCAAGATATTTGAAAAACTGAATATATTATAGCATGTCGGGTATTCTGAATATGCAATAAAACTTTTTTGATAAGACCAACTGTTTTTGTCATTGTTTTTTTTATTTATAATTTTATTGAAATTTACAACTGTATTACATTAAAAATACAACAGGTAAATGTGACATTGGTAACATGACATGTAAAATATGAAGAGGAACTACCCATTGGTAGAACTCAAATTAAAGTTCTATATTAGAAGATCCCGAGGCCATCTTCTTTTCAGACGCCTCGGAGGGTTATCAGGGATAGAGGAGGAAGCAATGTTTGAAACAAGAGGGTTCGGATGGTTCTGCAGTTTGTTATGGAAGGAAAGGTATCTGGATTGGGCCAAATCGGAAACATATGGAACATTAAGGTCTTTATGGATGATTTTGTTTGGAGAAAGTAAGGAGCGTTGAGGATTTTACGAAGGATTTTGGATTGTAAGGATTGGATACGAGAGGAATTCGATGGCTTAGTGGAGTCCCAGAGCTCAATTCCGTAGGCCCGAATAGGTCTTATTATTGTCATATGTATGAGTCGTTTGTAATTGAGTGAAAGCTTAGAGCGTTTGTCTAGTAAGTGTTGGAGTAGTCGGAAACGTCGAGCGGTTTCTTGTCGTTTCAGTCTGGTATGGGGGTTCCAAGTGAGTCGTTTGTCAAGGTGGAGTCCTAAGTAGCGGATTTGTTCAACTGGGATAAGTGGGGAATTGTTAAAGAATACTGTAGGACAGGAGGTCATAGGTTTACGACGCAGGGTAAAGGTAATTTGATGGGATTTATTGGAGTTTATTTTAATCCTCCAGTTTTGACACCATTCTTCAAGATTTGTGATGTGTGATTGGAGAGTTTGGGATGCAATTGATGGATCGTTGTTAACTGATAGGATACACGTGTCATCGGCATAGGTGGTGATGACAGTGTTGGGATGGGTTGGAATGTCAGCTGTATAAACTGTTTGTTATTGTTAATTTTTTCCATTATAAATAAAATATATTCTGCATATAAAATGTTGTGAAAGTGAAAATTTGTTGTATAAGGTTATTGAAAGAATCAATTATAAATATTTGTTACCTATATCACTATCAAGAGGACATAGTGGTAAGAAAAGAAGAACAAATGACCTACAACTAAATGAAGATGAAACCAAGTGCATGTGGTGGTGAGCTGAAAACAATATTCCAGTATCAATTATGAGTCACGAAATTGTTTGAATTTATCTTAAATATTTTTCATTCATTTTATTTTTGTTTCTATAATTTTCCTCCAGTTTTCTATGACAAAAAGGAGTAAATAATATTATGTATACATTTATTTAGGTACAGGTAGAAATTTTTTCTTGCTAGTTTTTTATATAACTCCTTGACTGAATTTGCCAGATAATTACCAAAATCTCAAATTATCTCAGCTGATTTTTGTACTCATCATTAGCAGAGAGTTAAAAAAACATTTTTATTACTGTAAGACTTTGGTGGTCGTTGGCGCGACGTACTTTCCGATGGAAAAAGGAAATTCCAGGATTCGTTGAGTGATAACTTATCCTAGGAAAATACGTTTTTTAAAAATTTATTTATACTCATTTCGAAAAAAATATTTTCAGAATCCAGCAAAAACACCTAAAATATATTTAATGATTTATAACAAGTTGCATGATTAATGTGGCAGAAACACGCTTTTCACTTTTACTTTATTGAATATCTTTGAACCTGGTGTTTTTATTCGTTCCTAAACTTTAGGAATATATCAGTCAAATATGTCAGACAATAAAGACATAGAAATTTGAATTATCATAAAACCTTGAAAATAGCGATTTGTGCCGCTCTCAGACCACTGTGTGCCGTCGCGGTATGATACACTTTTGAATAATGGCTCATTACAAAGCGTATGAAACGCTGAACATTTCTCTCCCTAACAATATAGAGAGAGGTCCGATTTTTAGTTTCTGAGATATTCTAATCCATATGCAAAAACGCTTCAATTAGTCGACTCCAGCCGAATTTACCCGAGCGTTACACATCGGAGATCTTATGGCTCAATCTAATTCACTCTTCACAGAGAAGTGCAAATCGCGCCTAAAAAAGTGTTCAATTAAAAATTATTCAGTAGTATTTTTGAAAATTAAATTAGTGAATAATTTGATGATTTTTTTCTCTGTGAAATCACATTATCCACTAATAATTAGACCTATCGTTGATGTATTGGAAAATTCGTAACTTAATGTATTTTTAACGTACGTATGTATGTATTTAACGTAATGTACTTTAGTAAATTTTACAAGGGAAAAAATAAAATTTTAAAGACACCTAAAAAGTGATAAAGATTTAATTTCTATAATCTTTACTATGTAGTACAATCCTTACATTATTCGTAAATTAAATATTTGTTTAAAATGTTTCAAATCTCTCTTTGTACATAGGGCTCAAGGCCTGGAGTTATGTCATTCAAATAGACCGATGGAGTTATGAGGTTTTTATTGAGGGTTCCTACTATCATATAATAAATAGGGTTTGTGTTATTTTGTGTCTTGATGGGTTTTCGTATTGACTAATATTAGTGCAATTCACAAAAGCGTTATTTTAAGTTTAGGTCCATTAAAAATTGAATTGAAGTTTTGTAATAACCCAACATTGCCAGAAAATAATTTCTGTTCATACTAGAGCGTTAAATGAAAGTTGAGTTGCATCACTGTTGAAACCAGAGTTCTGGGTTAAATTTGTTTTCTTCTTTTGTTGAAAATTCATAATATAAACTGCCCTACACACCCCAATTTATTTCCCTGCTATCACCAGGTTTGCTATCAGGGTGTAAATAAGGGAAATGTTGCTGTTGCCCTGTTATGATGTGTACGTCGCAGTTTTTTTTTTTAAATTATCTCTGGTGTATTTAGATGATTTCAACTTGCTGAAGCCCTTGATATGCCAAATAGAACAAAAATGAGAACGATTTTTAACAGTTTTCAGAAATTTTTTCGAGATATACTTAAAAATGTTTAATTGATAAACTGATATTAGAATAGCAGTTATTAAAAATACCACCAAAAAGACCAAATATTGATCATCACTCTAATGAAACCGAGATGAATCTTTTTTTGTTTGCTTCCTAGGTAGGGATGCATTGTATTTTTATTTATTTAATGAAATTCACAACTGTACAAACAATGCAACTAGTAAAAATGCACACATTAGAAATAATGCCACGAACAGACTTCATAGATAGCACTCCCTGTTTAATTATAGTTGAGAAGATCACGAGGCCATCTCCTTTTCAGACGCCTAGGGGATTATCAGGAATCGAGGAAGAAGCAAGGCTGAAACAAGTGGATTCCGATGGGACTGGAGTTTATCATGAAAGGATAGATATCTGACTCGGGCTAAATCAGCGACATATGGAACATTAAGGTCTTTATGAATAGCTTTATTTGTGACTAAATATGGGGCATTAAGGATTTTACGAAGGATTTTGGATTGTAAGGATTGGATACGATAGGAATTCGATGGTTTGGTAGAGCCCCAAAGCTCAACTCCGTATGTCCATATTGGTTTTATTATGGTTAAGTAGATGAGTCTTTTGTAATTAATTGAAAGTTTAGAGCGTTTGTCTAGTAAGTCGGAAACGTCGAGCAGCTTCTTGTCGTTTCAGTCTAGTATCAAGATGAATCTAGAAGAAAGATTTTTATTTTAGAAAATAACAACCAGCATTATATAGTACTACAATACAAGCAAAGATTAAAGTTATTTTATCAAAGAATTGTTTTAAATGTTTTACAAGTTTAGTTGCGCGTGGTAACTCAATAATGGGTTAACTTTGTTAGGCAAGTTGTATGATAATGCAATGCATATTGTTGTCACGTTATGCCTAGAACTCGGAAAAACAGTTTACATATTCATGAAGAGAGGAATTCCTTCCATCTGTGAGAAATTCGTAGGAATAAGAATAATTGTGAAATATATTATTGTCAGTTAAAATATTCATGTATATGATTGTGCGAATGTTTGTAGAATATTCGTGTTTAGTAAATTAGAAACATTCAGGCCCGATAATAAAGGGACCGTCGCACAATGGGACGAGTACTGGAAAACTCGGGACATCTATTCGAGTCTGTCTAAATCCAGTATTTTTTTTTCAGAACTCCCAAAACTAGATAAACTGTTTTATTGATACCTTGTGTTGTTCGCGGGGTTTCCAAGAATATTTTCAGTTGGCACAATATACATTTTTCTCTGTTTTTATTGAATAGTTCAATTTTTAAAAAATAATTGATTTAGCTGATGTTGCGAGTTTTCCCTTACTAGTCCCACTGTACGCCCATTACATAATAAGTACTTAACATGTTTATGTAACATATTTTTGTCATGTTCCACTGAATATACATGCATGTCATACTGTTCAGATATGTGAACAAAAAAGTTTGGAACATCCCCGATGTATATTACTCATACCTTATTTAATAATTGAAGTTTTGTACCTTATAAATAAAATTGTTGACGTTTCTAGTCGTTTATTTCCAAAATGAACTCTAAGCATCATTGAGAATTTTTCAGGAAACGTGAAAAACTATATTTTATAACCCAATTGTAATGTCAAAACATATTAAAAAAATATATTCAAATATTTTTTATTTGTATCACATTGATCTGAAAATTATTTTAATAGAAATGAAATAATTCATTGAAACTTAAAAATGGCCGCTTTTGGAACGAATTAAACTTCAAGACTCGTTTCAGAACAAAAAAAAAAAATTTATTGATGTTCAGTTTGGAAAGAGAAAAGATGGTATATGATTCGGGAAGAAACAAATTATTAAACTTGTACTTTAAACTAAATTAATTGAATTTTCATTTTTTTAAAAATAAATCTGTTTAAAAAATCTTTGGATGAGTTTTTTTTAACACTTTTAAGAAATGCAATTATCATTATATTACTTGAAAAAAAAAAAAATAAAACGTTTTTGAAATAAACTGGATACTTTCCGTTTTATGGTGGGCAACTTATTCTTTCATATGATAGGTTGTATTACCTAACTATTTACTATATTAACTTTAGTTTGTACTTACTTTAACAATTCATTTCTTGAGGCCAGTATTTTTTAATTCCTCCTGTTTCTTCATAATATTCCTGATAATATAATACTTTTCTTGCCTTTTTGGATATTGCATATTTAAGGTTTGTGTATACCTGAGATGTTACAGCAACTTTTTGATCAAAATCGGCGAACCGGAAGTGGCACTTTATATTTTCGGCTTAACACATTTTTTACGATTTTCTCACAAACAGCTGTAACGATTTTGATTGTTTTAAATTTAGAAAATATTGTGGGTATAATAATAAAAATATAATATAATACTTTTTGAGTTATGCGTAAAGAAAGGTTCCTTATCTTCATATTTTCCGCATAAATTTTTTGGAAGATGTGCTTATTTTCACATTTCAAGAGTTTCATTATCTTGAAAATGACGGGTCAATTATTGGATTTGATTAAAAATCAATTAATATATGGTGTAACAACAAAAAATAAAATAAAGAAATAATATCCCAAAATATATGGTCCCTTTTGGGTATATATTTTATTTGTTATGGTGAATAATTGAAGTCACTATTTTGATATGCATTTGTTTAATAAATTGAGATTAATGAACCGTAAATTAATAAGACTAGATATGCCAATAAAAATTAATTGTTCGTGACCACGTTCCACAAACTGGATCACATAAAAAAAATCTCTTGATGCCATTGTTTATATGAAGTAAGAAAGACCAAAATTTTTAGGCGGTGAGTTATTTTTATCGAATTTAAAATAATCTTTACCACATAGAAATTTTCTTCCAATAATAATTTAAAAATAAGTGTTTTAGCTTGTTATGTATGTATACATTTTTAAAATAGGCTTACCTTTCAAGAGGTCAGCATATTGTCAATTTTTAAGAATTAAGATTTCAGTAGAGTAATGAAAATAATAAGTTATTGGATTCGGTGATAGTTACGTGATTTAAATATTTAAATATGGTGCCGTAGAGCTACATAAGGTCATTTATGATAGGATATTCTCCATCTGGATACAGGAAAGAATGCCTCTTCAATGGAAATATGCGGTCATTTGTCCTGTACACAAGAAAGGGGAACAATTGGAATGCGCCTACTATCAAGGGATTTCGTTACTGCAGTGCGCATGTAAGATACTCTCCAACATCCTCTACAACAGACTAGACCCATTCGCCGATTGTCAAATTGGAAAATACCAAGCTGGTTTTCGAAAGGGTAGATCAACTATTGATCAAATATTTACTCTCCGGACGATTCTAGAAAGAAGTCATGAGTATAAAATTCAAACCCATCAACTGTTTATGGACTTCAAGAGCGCCTACGATACCATAAGCAGACATGGTATGAAGTAATGGAAGAACTAAACATCCCCTCTAAACTAATTCGTCGTGTAAGAATGAAAATGCAGGACGTACAGTGTCGAATACGCATTCATTCGGAATGTTCCTTGGAGTTTCTATCTAATAAAGGACTGAGACAATGTGATACTTTGGCATGTTTATTGTTTAATTTGGCTCTGGAGAAAATGGTGAGGGTCTCTGGCCTTCAGACTAGGGACACGATATTTACAAATATGGAATAAATTTTAAGTTATGCTGACGACATCAATATTGTTGCATGATCCTTTGCAGCTCTCGAATGTGTCTTTGAGTTGTAAAAACCTGAAGCTAAGATGGAGCTCTACATTAATGAGAATAAAACAAAATACATGCATACAGAGGAAGGAGAGAATCCCCAAAACCAAAGAATATCTCCAGGCCCTTACACCTTTGAGAATGTCCGACAGTTCGGAGAAAGCCAGCTGCCAACCGATGCTATTTTGGCCTACTCTCTATAAAACTAAGCTACAGCTCTATAAAACTCACATCCGGCCAGTTCTTACCTATGGTAGCCACAAATAGACCTTAGCCAAAAATGACGAAAACGACCTTCTGGTTTTTGAAAGGAAAATCCTTAGAAGAATATTTGGCCCTGTAAAGGAGGGACTGGATTGGAGAATTCGGAAGAATAGAGAGGTCTACGAATTGTTTAATGAAACTAATGTGGCAAGAATAGTACCATTAGGAAGTTTAACTTGAGCAAGACACAGATCGGATGGAGAGGTCTGAAATCCCGATAAGAGTGCTTGAAGAACCATTACACTATACAAGGAGAGCTAGCAGATGGAGATTGAGATGGAGAGATGGTGTGGCAGATGAAGCTACAGATAGATGGGAGTCAGGAATTGGAAAGTGGCGGAATAGAGAAATATGGCGGAAGATCATTGAGCAGGCCAGGAGCCACTAAGGGTTGTAGAGCCATTATGGTAGATAGATAGATGATTACGTTATTTCTACTTACACATCTTCACATATATCAAGGAAAAAAATGTTTACTATATTGTTTTTAAAAAATATTTATTGAAATTTACAACTGTATTAACTAAAATTGTTAATATTTATAAGACCAAAAAATTACTGGATAGCTGGAAGGAATCATTCCTTTAATCAAGAATAAAGGTGCTTCCACAGACTGCAACAATTATCGGGGTATTAGCCTTCTGAATACTGCTTACAAAATATTTTCTGTTATTTTATATAATCGAATTGTGGATTTTGTTGAACCTCGGTTGGACGATTACCAGAGAGGTTTCAGCAGGAATAACTATTGACGAGATATTCTCTTTAAGACAAATAATGGAAAAAACAAAAGAATTCAACAAGATTATATGGATCCTTTTCATCGATTTTAAAGCAGTTTATGATTATCAGGAGAAGGAAATTATCAGGAGAGAGCTCTACCAGGCAATGGAAGAGATGGAAATTCCACCGAAGATAATCCGACTTGTATCGTGTACTTTGAAAGAGAACGAGTCGAGTGAAAATAAATGGGAAGCTGGGCCAACCTTTCGCAGTGAAGTCAGGAGTTAGACAGGGTGGCCCCCTTTCTCCACTTCTATTTAACATCGCCCTCCAAGTTGTGGTGAATAGAGCTTAGTAAGTCGGGCACCATTATCAGAAAAATAATTCAAGTACTTATATATGCAGTTGATGTGAACTGTCCCTCAAGGCGATCAATGAGGTCTGTGAAAGATTGAAAAGAGAAGCTGGAAGAATGGGGCTATCCATAAATGAAGAAAAAACAAAAATTATGGTGCTCAGGAAGAAAATAGCTATAAATTCTCCTTAGCATTATGCAGTGAGGCAATATACGTTTCGATGCGTGTTCAGGTTTAAGTAACTCGGCTCCATCGTTAATGATCGGGCGGACCAAGAAGAAGAAATTCAAAATCGTGTAATGGGGGCTGAGAAATCATATTTCGCCCTAAGAAGTTTCCTCCAAAGTAAGCTACTAACTCAGGCTACGAAAATGATTATATACAAACAATCATTCGATCTGTACTGACCTATGCAAGTGCAACCTTGACTCTACGGTAAAGCCTGACTGGAAAAATTGACAGATTTGAAAGAAAAGTGTTGAGGCGCATCATGGGGCAGTTGGAGAGAGTGGTACATGTCGTTTAAGAAAGAACAAAAAGATCTACGACTTATTCAACGATCTCCGAGTTTCTTATTTCGTGCGAATTAAGAGCTTAAAATGACTGGGACACATTATCAGGAGAGATGAAGGTAGAGCCGTGAGGAAATTATATTATGGCATTACGGATGGAGTCAGACCACGTGGAAGACCGAAGGGAAGGTGGAAGGACTCCGTGGTTGAGGACTTGATGATGGTGGGAGTATCCAGAAGACATGCTGCTAAACGAAATGATTCGGAAAGGGCCGTTGGGAGGGCCAAGGGCAGCTTCAGACATCTTTCGATGCGATAAATAAATAAATTAACTAAAATAAAACATGCAAATGTGAATCGGTACAGATTTTAAGATATATTATCTTTTGGTAGCACACCAGTTTTAGTTCTATATTAGAAGATCCCGAGGCCATTTTCTATTCAGACGCCCAGTAGGTCAGAAATCGTGCAAGATTCGAAACTAGTGGATTTGGACAGGCTTGGGGTTTATCGTGGAATCAAGATATCTGAATTGAGATAAATCGGTAACATATGGAACATTAAGATGATTATAGATAATTTTATTTGTTACTAAGTAAGAAGCATTAAGGATTTTGCGAAAGGAATTTATATTTTAAGGATAGAATCGAGAAGAATTTGATGGTTTAGTGGAGCCCCAAGGTATTGTATTCAAGTTCTTTTTTAATAGTAACAAAAATTATTTCAGTTTTTTGTTTTTATTGTGTTGAGATAGGCTTACATTAAAAAAAAAAAACTTTCACCTCTAAAACCCATCAAGGTTTTTGGGATCATTAATATGTTAGGAAGTACTGTTTCAAGATCAACGGTTAAGCAGGATGATGATTGGGCCAGGATTACGGTCAATCGCCAGGTTTTCCTACTTAATTAAGAGAAATTACTTTATAGAGACTGGGTGTGCCCCACGAAGGTGTCCAGACATCAGCCGGATTCGGACCTGGAACCTTGAACTTAGCAGCTCAGTGCTTAACTCACTGATCTACTCCTCTCTCTTTTTTTTACTTAATTTTTTTCAAACCATGCCTCTAAAAAATACTTTGTCTTGGACAATAGAATTCGAGGAAAGAGCAATGTTTGTGAATTTCGGTAATTTGAAATGTGGCAGCCTTGAAGTTTTAAATATGAAGTTTGCAACCTCTTTAAGTGTCATTTCTTTCACATTTCCCGACTTAGAAGGTTAAAAAACAGATAGATTTTGAATTATTGTCGAGGCTGCATGGATAAATTATAAGTTAGGCCGGTTTGAAATTAGCCATTTGCAAAAAGCAAATTTGTGCAGAACACGTATTAACTAAGGGTTCGTGTTGGAAATAAGTGCTTGGGATAATGCATTTGTGTTGTAAATCAGTTTCCGGTGGATATTTTTATAGTGCTGTGTTACAGTATCTGAATCTGGATGACCAAGTCTGAGTGTAAAAAGTCGTTGGCAACATAAAAAATAAAAATAAAATAAATGAGGCCTCTAGATAAAATGTATATTAGTGACAAATATTAAGTATTGAGTAAACCGTTGTTAAACTTAAACCTTCTCCGTGATTGATAAATTGATTTCCTACACTGACGGACTATCTTTTTCTAAGTGTTACAGTGTTTCTTATGCCACTCTGGAGGTTGAAACGGAATGTTACGGTCGAAAATGTTTCATATTATTTTCAGTTTAATCATTTGTACAAACAATAAATACATTCATTATGGTGAAAAAATAATCATCAGCTTATTGGATTTCTTCAGTATTTTCCATATCGGCAGATTCGTGAAAATCTTTCAAAATATTAATAAATCAGTTACCTAGCTAGCATGTGATTTGAAAACTATACAACCAGTTTTTTGTCTGCTGCTGATTATATAATGTTTGTTGAGATTTTTCCTTGTTGATATTCGCTAGAAGCCAAACGCTCTCTGTTATCCGTATGATTTGATTAGTTTGGAAATCAGATATTTCATGCTTACTGTTAAAAATCATACCTGTCTACTATTATATCTGAGGATTTCAACAGCTGGTCTCAACAGCTGCTTGTAACCCTAAAATAAATATGGACGCTTTCTAAACATAGTTTCTGAAGTGGGATATATGCATAAATAAATATATGAATTCAAACAAAAATAGTTTATTCATTATTGCTTAAAATATACAACATGCCAATCAATCAATAACATAATAATTACAAAATAATTTAACAATTCTATAATTTTTTTTTATT